CTCCGAATTGGCATTTCACAGCACATGTTTCTCGTATATGGGCTACTTGGTTAGAGTTTCTCTATCACAAGTTAGGATCATTACCCATCTGGGCATCACAAGATTATATACAACAAACTATGCCACAGCCTTTCAAAAAAACCTACCCAAATACCTGTGTAATTATTGATTGTACAGACTGAACAACAAATTGAAATACCAACATCATTTAGAAATCAGTCTGCATTTTTGAAAATGCATGGGCACTTCACCTCACCTATCCCAAATGTTGTTGGCTCTGCATAATTATATAACAAGTAGTCTGGTTTCACCAAGTCATGGAGCTTCTGTGTTAACAAATAACCCACACTGAACACATGCAGTCATTTTAATACACATGCAGTCATTATCAGTTCATCCTGAATTATTTTGCTCTAAATGTTTTTCAATGGCATGCTTTACATTGCTTGCTGGCAAAAGGATTTTGCAAAGAAGTGATGTGAGGAAAACATTTTCTCTTCGTTTCATTCCGTACTGAAATGTGAGGTAGTTACAGTGGACGACCTCGTTGTTCATGAAACCAAAGTTTGCTCTGTGACTGACCTCTTGTATTGCATTCAATGTCAACCATTTGTTCTTTGGGTGTAAAAAGAGTGTTTCGAGTATCTGGTCTATATATTCTGGAGAACGCAAATGTTTGCACACTGCTGCAAAGGCAAATGTTTGCACACTGCTGCTAGGAACAGTAAGTTGTTCCAGTATAGATGTTCAAATTTTGTATTGTACATTTGATTTGCAAATACAGTAGGTTTGCATTTATTGAATGCCTTTGTTGAAGGCAATTCCTCAACAAATTCTTGATATTAGAAAGGTTCACAATTGTTGGATACTAAAAGGCCCTGCAAATAATCACAAGTGCCAACAGTCAAACCGGTCTTAACGTTTTCTTAAGTCTTCAACATTTACATGTTTACATGTTTAGCAAAAGCACGTGCTGGGTTGTTGTAGTTTGCTGTGCAATGTTTTTTCTGTCTTGAAAGTTGCCTTGCTTATTTTTACTTTGTCGAAAAGCACTGCAGTATCAAGTTTCTCATTAGTAAGTTCAGTGACTGTCAGACTGTGTACATGTTAAATCATGTGGGACTTCAGTTTAATAATTGAAGTTGGATATTGAGTCCAAAATTTGAAATAGCAGGGCAGCCACATGTTTACAGCAACGGAACCACCTGTACAAGTGCAACTTACACAAGATATTTAACCAGTGTCTTAGACCTACAGTAGGTGAACATAGATTCCATAGTGTGCCTTTTTCATGGAGGCATGCACAACACTTTTAATTAATTAAACAGGAAAGATGTTTCTGTGCCTTTCAAAACATTAGCCTTAACTACAACCTGGGTAACCATTTTATCTTTGAACAGTTGATAGCCATATTTTTATGCTTGTGAGCATTTGCATGGTCCAAGTTTACTGAGTAGTCAGTTATCAAATGTTCCTTCAGTAATGCATGCATGGGTATTAAAATACCACTGAGGTTTCTTGTCCACTGTATTCCTTACTCCATATTTACAAACAGCAAACCAAACGGCTCGAACCTTTCCAAAATATACTCGAAACAAGCGAGGTTGCTTTAAATTTGACTCGCGTAAATATGTTGTAGTTAAAACTCCAATAAGACACTTGAACAGCAGTGAATAGTACTTAAAAGTACTTTATGAATCTTTGAAAACCTTTGAAATGTGAAAGCTTGGTATTTCAAACAGTAACTGTTTTGATTTTTCGCGCCAAACAACCTCAATGTTTTGTGGTTGTGAAACGAACGTTTGATCAAACATCTGTTGCTTTGGGACGGTCAAGTGTGCAAACATTTTTGTCTCTCGATTCGCTAGAATTAAACCGATCATTAAAATTTTTAGGCAAATAATAGTTTACAACGTGTTGCCTACCTAGAAAATAATTTAATGCAGTACTCACCTTCATGTTGTGAAATATTCAAAAATTTGTTCCTGACTACTACGAATCGAACTCCTTCCCCGCTTCAGTGACTTTGTACGCCATGTTAAATATTTCAACCGCACTCGCTCGTAGAAGTCCAAGACGAAGTAGAAATATGAAACAAGTCGTACAGATTTAGTCAAAACTTTAACCAAAGCGAAAATGATAAAAGTTTTCTTGCAATTCTCATGTGTTTAGCACCTTCCCTCGTTCGAAAAGTATAAGCGCCATGTTGAAAAATTCTGCTGTGTAACTAAACTACCATGATGCTTAGCAATTCCGCAATTGGCTCATTTAATGTACTGACTGCAACCACGTGGATAAAAATCACAACGCATTCTCAATTCAGAAAGGTAATGGTTAAAATCCGCGGAGCATCGCTAAGTGTATCGACAGTTAGTTGATCCATACAAACTGGGCATGTTTGAAAGTTCGTAAGATGTCTAGTGATACAACCACGACAGAACGGGTGTTGATTCCGACGACACATAACTGGATCTTTGAAGACATTCAAGCAAATGGCGCAATGAAATCGTCGACTCACAGCAACTTCAAAACGTTCGACTGGATAGCCGAGCTCGTAACAGTCGGCCATTGACGTACGCTGGGATATTGTTTACATTGAACCAATTCTTTTACACATTTCAGATTTAATCTTGCCCATACGAACGGCACAAATAGTTCTTGTCATTACCTACTAATCAAATGATATGAGATATTTCTATAGACAACAGTAGAATGCCATTTCTTGTGTGATTTCGATTTTCAAGCTACTTCTGTACTTCTAGACGGAGTTGCATTACAATATGTCAACATAATGAGATATATCGCCCAATTTGCATACAAACCTCACATGATGAAAGGGATGTTGACATTTGAAAGGCTAATTAATTAAAGAACATTTGACATACTACGAAACCCGGACTCGGACCTGGACTCAAGAAAAAAAACCCTCAATTTTTATTTGGACATGTAAAAAATATCCCGGTTTATCATCAGCACAAAAAATTATTGTGAGAACATGGCAAATTCAGATCAGTCGAAAATATTACGAAGTAGTCCACAAATTACCATCTCTTAGTCTTATTCGGTCCTTTTCACCATATCAGTACTAAATATTAGGAAATTACTCAAATTAGTACACTTTGTCCCAATCCGCTAGTCTTTTGAAACCTACCAATTACCCTGAAAGTTTCACTACGTTTATTAATATCTTATATTCTCATGATTCTCTTATTAATTAAGAACAGAATGTATGAAAAACAATTAATAGAACACGAAATTATCCCCTTTACTTGTCTTTTCAAGCCTACTGATTTTCCAAACGGCTAAATATCATATTTTCTTATCATCCTCTCCAGACTCGGAACGTTGATGAAAACCATTCACAAACCACGAAATTGTACGAAATGATAAATGTGGCCAACGCATATACTATTTCACAATTTTTGGGTAACTTAGGCATGCCCACTTACTATTGATTCAGTCCATCGGAAGCACGCTTGATAGAACAAAAGTAACTAAGCAGTATATGGATAAGCTATATGCAGTTTTAAACTCAAGTCTTAGCAAAAGAAAGAAAATAAAATTGAGTTGAAACGTGACCCTAAAACAACCTTGAACCCCAATCTATGATTGTTTAAACAACCCAGAGAGCCCTAACAATGATTGTTAGGACTCATGATTGTTTTTGGGTCAGGTTTCAGTCAATGTTATTTTTTATTCATTTGCATATTTGTCCATAGGACATCAAATTATAACCTGGAGGGGTCGTTGCCAGTGTAGGTGCAGACAATACTTGAAGTATCATCAAATTATAACGATACATTGAAATGCTGTAAAACGTCCATGAACTCAACATGAACGATATCAAACCGTTCGCTTAAGTATTTGTTGACATTAGAGTGCAATATATTACGTTTACAGAACTTTCATACCGGCATAAAACGTTCATGTTAGTCACGTGACCAGTCAGAATCAGTGAATGACAATCATCTTCTCTTAATCAATGCAAGTCAGTTATACCTAAAATTTTGTAATTTTACCGAAACACTACTCAGTATACTTTCTCTAGTGTTATAAATCCATACCTACTGTTTGAAATCAATTAAGCTCACCTGATATCCAAGAGCAAATTGACCAGTGCCAAGTATTGGGTACAAGCGTTAATAGGAAAATTTGTTTATGTATAAAATGCCCGAATTATGAATATACAAATCTTTAAACTAAAGGCTAGTCTCCACTCAGGAAAATTATCCGTGGATTGGAACGGACAAGAAAATGTTTCTTTGTGTTAAAGTCATTAGTTCCAACCCAGAGCTCACAAGACAAAGAAAAACTTTCTTGTCCGTTCCAATCCACGAATAATTTTCCTGAGTGAAAACGAGCCTTAACCCGATAACTGTAATGTAATTAGGAAGATGCTAATGTACATCGTATGGACAGTGCTTGCCTCATGAATTATTAATGAGTTTTGAGAATGCGGATTGGATGTCGACGCATACAGCACGAGAAGGAGTAGCTCTGATTAAGCTGTAGCCGCTTGTAGACCGAGAAGAAGTGAATGCGGATTGGATGTCGACGCTTCTAGCACGAGAAGGAGTAGATGTAGATGATGAAGAATCATGTGCATAATCGTCATTGTCAGTTTCTGTCCTCGATTTTTTTGGAAGCGACCCCATGACCTCCATTAGTTTTTTAAGATTATTTTTAATACTACTATTACTTCTTTTCAAAGAAGAAAGTGAGTCGTCCACATTTTTCTGCTGCTCTTTCAAACTCTTTAGAAATGAATTCTGCTCTTTCAAACTCTTTTGAAAGGAATCTTGCTGCTCTTTCAAACTCTTTTGAAATGAATCCTGATGCTCTTTCAAACTCTTTTGAAATGAAGCGAGTTTCTCCTCAACTGCGGCAACACTTTTAGAAGTTATATCAAACTTTTTCTCCATTCTTGTCACTTTTTGCTTCAATATGGCCACGTCTTCACTCAAGCGTTCACAATTATGACATTTTAGTTGTCGCTCTTCACAGTCCAAAGATTCGTGGTAGATCAAATCGTGTCTGTTTACTTCAAGCTGACAACCTTCGTTCGAGCAGGGCACAGGAGCATATCCACACTTTTCAACGTGTTTTTCTAGATATTGCAATTGAACAAACTCTTCACAACCCCGCTCGACAAACTCACAACGGATCCTTAATTCAGATAGGAGTTCAGTTAACAATCGCGAAGGTTTCGTTAGTGTATCGAGAGTCAGTTCATCCATGCAAGCAGGGCATCTTTGATCGTTCGTAAGATGTCTAATTATACAGTCACGACAGAACGGATGTTCATTACGACACATAAACGGATCTTTCAAGACATTCAAGCAAATGGGGCAATAATATCTTCTATTAACAGGACTTTGAAAACGTTCGAGTTCATAACCATGGGCGGCCATGGTTTCCGAAATATTGTTAAAATCGACCAACTCTTTTCTATATTATGGCTTTCAACGTCATGGTCTTGCTCATACCAGCGAATACACGAGGACAAATAGTTAACGTATTCTTTGGCTACATTTAATGATGTTAATTCTTCTTTCATACAGCAGTACAACTCGAAGCATGTCCAGTCTTGAACTAGTCTTGAACGAACAGCTTCAGACATTAAATAATGCAATGCAACAGCCAACATATCACATTTCACCATTGAACTACAAGTAAACTGGAAGGCTAACTCAGGAGGGGGAAATTGAAGCCAGTGCATTTTAGTTTTTCTGAGTTATGAGCAGAATACTCAACCCTGAACGTTGTGCTGTATATGAAACTGAAGCTATTGAAAAACGCTATTTGGTGTAGAAATTTCAAGACTTTATTAGCTAAAAGGGAAATATTTAAAAACTACAGAAATAATTGCCGATAATTTGCCATTTTTTGGCCGAATGTCAGTTGTTTTTGTAATTTTAAAATATTTTTCTTTTCGCTGAAGTCTTGAAATTTTCTCACCGAATAGAAATTTTCAATAGCTTCAGTTTGATATATTACTCAGAAAAACTATTTTGTCTTCAGCAAATCATAGACCTTCATCATATCTGCATTTCACGTGCACTGTCTTTCACATCATCTCGTCCCCAGGGCCGTTTGGCCGCGCGCGACCTCCATAGGCCCTGGGACACACGGAGCCAAGAAAACTTGCAGTAGTTTCTAAAGCGCATGCTCTTGAATTGGGACGCTTTAGCACCCGTAACAATTTTCACAGTGAAGTATTGCGAAGAAACAAAGTAATCGTGCGGTTGTTTTGATAGAATAATTTTGTCTAGCGAAAACTGCTCAACTTAATTTAATTTTTTAATTTTAATTTTTTAATTTATAAACTTTGCCGATGAAACAGTACATTACATGACAGGACAAAAACAAACGTACATAATGAAATACAGTGGGTACATGACCACGGCTGGGTGACCGCAACAGCGAATAGCCAATTACTG